CACCATGATGATCATCATCAATGATCACTGCATCTTCACTTGCTGGGTCAATCTGCGTGTCTGCAATTGCTTGGGAATCTCGGTTGGGGTTAATGTTCTCCTTGTCGGACTTTTCCATGTTGGCGACCCCCAAAGAACCATCATGGAGAACTTGCGCGGCATTGGCCAATGGGCGGGCAGTACTCAACAAAGCATCAGCTGCTCGCAAGACATGTTTTTCTTCCTCAGCCATTGCCTTCTCTTTGGCTTCCGACTTGGCCAGCAAAGAATCTAATTTGTCAAGCTGCTTCCCCACTGACGTAACAACCTGTTGGGCGTAGGTTGCCACCCCATCATCATCATGAATAGTGGGCGAAAGGCGGAGTGTTTCCTGCCCAGGGTGTTTATAACATGGCTTGCAGGGGCAAACTATGAATCACTTCTTTGACGAGGCCATGTGTGTAAATGAATAGTGAAGGTGAAAGCGCTGAAGGTGTGACTGTGAGGGACTTGCCAAAAAAAGAAACCAAACAGACGAAGGCCTCCATACATTTTTTTTTTAATACATCCATGGATTAAGTTTTCCTTTGGTGGAAATTTGGGGAATATAATGCCTATGTAGGGGATATGGACCCTGCCTGAGAATCTCCCACCACACCATCATCAGCCTCGGAAATGGACCCAACATGAAACCAAGGATCGGTTGCGCCATGTGACTATCTTTAATTTGCTGAGCTGCCTTTGGCTTGGTCGGCGAGATCGCTGGAGGCATCTCGTCCTCAATCTGCGTGGCCTGGGTTGGAAAGACAACTTGTTGATAGACCAATTCTATGATATTTGATGGGGCTATTTTATTGCACAGACTAACTATGAATTTATGATGTTTGGTGGAAATCCATTCCCAGTAATTACATATGATTATGCTGAGATAAAAACAAAAAAAAAACAGTGTTCGTTTGTTGGGCCCAAGAAACTGTCATCGCAGGACTCGGGGGGTAGAGCGTCTCATCTCCAAGCTGGTTATCCGGAAAGTACTGAGCGTCCAATCTGCGGAAGGGATCAGCGATGGATCTCTCATCTTCCATAGGCTTCCTTGGAGGGAGAGTTCCGAAAAAAATGCAAAACTACTTGGAATCAATGAGCCACATCAACTTGATAGCTTGTAAATTTTTCAATGATGGGGACAAGGTTCACAAGGTCTTCCATAGAAAGATCAGCAAAGGAACTGGCCTCACCCTTCTTCTCGATCGCATGTTCAAAGGGCAGCCGCTCCTTCAACATATGGGGTTGCAAGGACCAATCACCTTAAAGAATTTCAATACAAACAAGACACATCATTACATAACAATTGATGATAAAACATGACTGGTTTGAAAAGTGTATATTTTTGGAAAATGGAAACTCCTTGGGACGTCTGCTCCCACGGCCACTGGTTGCTGGCTTCTTGGTAGCGGACTTGGCCGCACTTGCTGGCCTCTTCATGCTTCCACCCCTAGTGTCAACCTTCCCCTCGTCAACACCCGAGTCATTGTCATCCTCATCGTCGTCACCAAACTCTAAGATGGGATCATGATCATCACCCAGTGGGGTTTCTTCATCCTTTTCTTCCTCTGTGTCTGCCTTTCGCTTGGACTTTGAATTCTTTTCGGACTTGGTTTTCTCTTTCTTTCCCTTCTCTGTCTTGTCCTTCTTTGTCTTCGACACTTTTGCCTCCTTGTTCTTTGCCTCTTTGGTTTGTCCTTTGGGTACTTTCTTGGGCTTAACTTCTTCATCGGGCGAATTCTTGTCCGATGAATCAGAAGCTCGAACACGTGGTGGCAAAGCATCCACATTGCTACCTTATGTACATTGACATATGTTGTATGAAAATGACATATAAACTCAATGCACCCACTGCAAACTCTTGAAGTGCTAGTGAGAGACTGGGTTCAGCCTGTGCAGGCACAACGCGTGATGCAGAAGCTGGTGGCAAAGATGACCGGGTTGGCATCGGAGATGCACCAGTTCTGCTGCTTGGCCCATCTTGGAGGAAGTTGCTCAGGTTGAATCCCTTGGCTGGAGTGTTGAGGCAAATGATATATGAATATTGAAGGGGACTTGATATATATAACTGATTCTGATACAACTTAAGTCCTTAATGTAAAACCTTTCTATATTTACATTAACCCCTCACATGCTTACCTTGGTGGCTTTGGGAGGATAAAGGGTTTTTTCCATCAGCACAAGTTGTTTGGAAACTGTTACTTGCTTCGAGGGGCTGGCATAGGCATAGCACAAGTCAATGGGACTTCTTCTACCTCATCGGAATCCGACTGCGTGTTCTTGCTGCCACGACGTGCCATTGAAAGTGGCAAGTTTTGAACACCTGGGGTCAAAACTAGCTAATCCTAGAGCCCTGCCTGAGGCGATGACCACAGCAATGTTTGAAGAGCTTTGTTCACTGATAGTTTCAATCCCAACAAGCCCATTGGATTCAATTAGGAACCCATTGGAACTTCGAATTTGGGGCTTTGCAGTTCAATGCAGAAACATGCATAAACAACATGTTCAAAATGGAAATCAACCAAATTCAACATTTTTGTTTCCAAGGCTTCAGAAAGCTTTTTCTCTCAACAAGCTCGGGCTAAGAGCAACATGTTGGTTTGTTCGCAGGTGCTCAGCGAGCATGGAAAGTCAATGAAAGTTGAATACCCATCAAACATAGCCGCATCCCTGCTGCTCCTCACAAAATTCGGTGGAGGAACCACAAGGCTAAGCCACTATGTTTCACTATGCTGGTGCTGAGCTAGAATTCATGAATCAATATCCTGCTATGGTTCCCCTCAAAAAATATTATCTAATACATGGCAAATGGCATCAGCTTTACAGTTGACTTTATTGATTTGCATGTTTCAACGATGACACCATAAGTTTACTTTTTGCTCAGCACCAACTTCCCACACAAAAGCTTGACCCATAATCACATCAAGTGATTTGACAGCCAAAACATGCCCCATAAATTGACAAATGTTTCATAGTAACAATGAGTTTATGTTGAGTTTAGTGCTTGGTTGGGACCATTTTGTGATTTCCAACTCTGTGAGGTTAGAAATTAAAAAGGAACCATGGGGGCATGTAGCCAGGCGTCACAAAACTCAAAATTTCATGGCCATAACGACGTGCAGCCAGCCATGTCACCTGTCAATACAGGGAGTCTCACTGCGCTCACATGAGGCTTACATTTTGGCCATCAAGCACTTCGAGGCTGCCTGTGAGAATGGCAACCGGCCTCACTGGCATCAGCAACTTGGCTCCGTCGGCCTGACTGTCAAGGCGGCACCTCCATGCAACCTTCAAGATGGAAGAACTTTTGAACTTGGGGATCAGGATGGTGGACCCGAAGTTTTTGATAGTCACCATAGCAGCGTCTTTCTCCTTCGAACCTGATTTGTTCTTTTGCTTCTTCCTCGCGGGTTCATCCGATGGCTCGTCCAATACGAACACAAGCTCTTTGGACGAAGTGATGCTGCACTCGTTTTTCTTCAAGCTGTGATGTGAAATTTTGTATTTCACCTGATCGTTGTGTTCCAAGACAACTAGGAAAAATAGATGTTTGACATCACAATAAAACATAGCATTTTTCTGTCAACCCTGCATGAACACTATATGCCATGATGTCTTTTCATGTGGCAATACCAGACAAATTCATAAAGAACATGTACTCTACACTTTGGGATCTATGAGATTGAAAATACATGATAGTATAATATCATGGGATCTATTATTCATATCATATCATATAATATGTATCCCCTGCCTCTCCAGCATCCTCGAGCTCCTTCAAGACTGCATCCACTCTGGTTGGGGTGTCCAAACATTCAAGATCACTCAGGTGCTCCGAAATGGTCTTTTTCTCCAAAATCACCGTGGAGTTCGTGTCGAGGCGGAACGCGAACCAACGGCCTTCTGGATTGTTGGAAACATCCCGGGCATCCTTAGATGGAGAAACAAATCCTGGATCATCCCCATGTCAACTTGGGCAATCCACCAAAACTGCAAACCACCAAACATATTGGTAAAGTATGTTAAAGTTAAAGGTGGTGACAACTACCCACTATTTGGGTTTATTGGTGACATGTCAAACTCTAGTATGATTTGTTTGGGAAATGTTGGAGAATAAAACCCAAACACCCAAGTTGATAGTTTGATCACCAAGATGCAGATCCATCCCTCCACTCGCCTGCTCCAAAGCTGAACCTGAACAATGGTTTCAAAAAGGTACACCCGTTGCACAGGGCACTGGACATGAGATTCACAATTGAATCTAGATATTTAAGGGGAACACTCAACACTGAAAATAGCCGAGAGGCATCTCTCGGTTTGCAAAAAACTGATTTTTTGCCTTGGAGCAGATGAAAACCATGCTTCCATCATCACCTCCACTGACAAGCTCACAGGTGCTGTTGATGGTCAACTTGCGCCTGTCGCATGCTGTCGTGCTATCATGTGTGAAAATTACTCATGCATTCTAAATTCTGAACTTGTAACATCAAGATACATTCTAAGATTGTAGCCATCCTCATGAAATCCCTATACGAAGATTGATGTTAAATCCCCATTCTAAATATTCCACAATCCCAAGACAACCCCACCAAACATATTAATTACCTCCAGGATGAATCCCCCATGGAGATTAAGGAATTATGAATTGATTCTAAACACAAACAAAGGCACTGTTTTGCCAATGTTGCCATTTGCTCTGCCGTGGCAAGCTGTGAAGCTTCAACCTTGATCTGCTGGGCGGCAGGCTCTTGTGATGATTGCCCAGATGACGAGTTCCTGCATCAATGTTTTCTTCGTCTCTATGGGAGAAACTTGGCAGAATAAATCGATCAATTCAGAGGGTAGTTTTATGTTTCCATTTGAAGGGTCAGCTGGACTCTGATTTACAGCCCTGGTGCACAATGTTGGAAGGATAAAGTCATAGCCCCAATATGGTTTTAATGATGGTAAACATCATACTTGGTTTGGTGTTAAATCGTTCAATGGGAAAGGGGATGATGAGCACGTCTCCTCTCTTCAAACCACATTTCACCACCAACGTTGAATCGCTTGTTGTGATTCTCGATGATGCTCATAGCCTTTTCTCGCAAAGCATCCGTTTGAACCCATTTTTCAGCCATCGACTGTAAGATCTTGAGCTGGAAATGGTGTTGAACACATACTTTGTATGTCGCTGTGCTTTGAGACACAGGACCATCACGCAAGGCTTTGATTGTTGGGGCAAAATCCGGAAAGGATGCCAAGTCAATAGCCTTCGACCTGCAAGCTTCATATATCTTGTTCCCAAGTCTTGTCATGAGTTCTCCTCCTGAATTGCCCAAAACCATCGAAGCACAGATGGTCGGCTTTGACTCCTGTAGCTCCTGAACAGGGTTGCAACAGATTCTTTAAGTATAGTAGATATTTATATAACAGCTTTGGATTCCCTGACATTTAGTTAGTAGAATGTGTTGGGATGTGATTTTGATGTGCAACCCCAGTATGTACACTCTATGGATCTATATGGTGCAAACTTTGCACTTCCCAAAATGTCGAGAGTTTTCATGATAATATTTTACATGCTATATATTATATAGATATCTATTATCTAATGTTTATTATATTATATTATTTCAAATTATATTCTATGATATTGCACTCTATTTATCCTATATAGTCCTTAATATACCATATTACATATTTTCTTTGATACTATGTCTTCTATTTCATTAACATGATAAGTTATATTAGATCATGTCATCACATAATATTATCATATTGTATTTTATCATATGATGTTATCACATTGTATGATCATTTGTTTTAGTCCTATTTTATTGAATTGTATTACTTCATATTATATGTTTAAGATTTTATAATATAGTCTATCAATAAAATTAAATCATTCAGTCTTATCGTGTATGTAACGTTGTAACATCTTCTATTCTAAGCATACTGTTACCTGCATTGGGTACCATATACGATGTGTTAAACACTTTTCTCCAAAGCTGGCAAACCAAAGAGCCAAGGAACTTCCAAAGCAGCCAATGCAGGGAAACCATCGTAAGCATGCAAGTCGATCAGTGCCGTAGCCTTTGAAGTTGGCACGCAGAACGCCTGCATCGTCTTCTTGACAATGTCCGTGCCACCAGCAACCTTAATATACTGCAACCAAAAAAAAATATTCAGTTTTTGGATATACACATCGAATTCCCCATTCCCCATGTTCAAAGTTTCAGTTTATCACACTCATACTTTAGGTAGTCCCCGGCCAAAAATGATTTTTATGAAAGGCTTCAATTTTTTATTCTGGGGCAAGGTTATGTATGGCCTGGAAAAAAAAGGGGCTGCCCAAATCCTGCCCAAGGACTTGTTTCAGCTCCTGGACATCGGTGAATGCCCGCCCCAAATGGGGCAGTGGCACACCTTGCCTTTGTGGAGACACCTGAGAAGCTTGGCATGGCTTGGAGGAAATTAAGGGGGGCAGTCCCATGTTGAACATCACCATGAATGAGTTTTTCCACAGTTGGCCCAAACTGAAATTGAAACAAATTGGTTTAGATATTAGTCAGTTTAAATGGCATTGAATATATCAATGAGATGGATGAGAAATAGTCAAATGGTTTGTCAGCCACATGTATAGCATGAACCCCTAGGGCAAAATAGCCAAGTAACTGCTTCGGGTTTCCAAAAGTCGCTTCTGGGAAGCATGGATACTCCATGTACGACTCCTTGCTTCCATCCACGAGTTTGCCTGATGATGTTGTTCTTGGACAAACCCGACACCACGGCAAGACCCGTCAAAACGCCATCACGTTTTCCAAAAAGCGTTGCCTGGGTCCAGGGATTGAAATGTGGCTCCAATGTAAGGCCTGCATGACTAAATGATTGTTTTGAAAACGATGGCAAATATTCTTGCGCACTATTCGCGCCAAGTATCGGGGTCCCAAACCCAGGTCAAATTGCGCAGCTTCAGATTCCTGTCTTTTAAGCGCAGGTCTTTCCTCGGTTTTCACAATTATTTTACACACCATTGGTGCCGTGTGCCCATACTCTTTCTTCAAAAGTTTTCCCAAAGTCCATCCCCTTTGATTTTCATATCATATACACATGGTTTCAAAAATACTTGTTGTGTACTTCCAAATCAGGGAATAGATTTACTTGGGATGAGCCAACATTATCAACTTTTTGGAATGTGATGGTACAAAATGCTTGCACAAAGCTTCTCCAAGTTGTAGATCACATCACGAACATCAGCCTCCTCACCTGCCACCAACCCTTTCGATTTGCCCTCACCGTCGGACTCAGCATTGCTGTCCTCATCCTTTGCTTCTCCTTTGACACCGTCGTCATCAGGATTGGCCTTGACATCTTCATCGTCAGCCTTTCTTCCTGGTCGTGCCTCTCCTGGAGTTTGGCAACTTGGCAACTGAGCAAGGGGGACGCACAGGTAAATCTATCAGAAATTTAATGCAGATACAGATACATCCTTGAACAGCAGGTTATTTTACTAAGATTTTTATATAGTTTGAAATTGTTTTAGTCACTGTCCTCTTGTCCAGTTGGGCGGCACGATTTGGGTGGATGATCACACACACCCCATTGCGACTCCAATCAGCGAGGAAATTGCACACGCAAGTCAGGAAGAAGTCGTACTTCTCACTGCTGATTATGCCCACCACCGGGCAATTCAGCCATAGCATCACCATGTGGTCTTCTGGGCTGTGGCAGCTCATGTCATCTAAGCACGATCGGACCCAACTTTTTGTCGATGGCATCAAGGCTGATTCTGCATGCTCCATTTTTGCTGGGAAGATGCACAAATTTTGTGCAATGAAATCCTTGACCACAGTCCACGCTCTGGTGTGGCTGTCCTACATGGTTAAGCCAAGGAAGATATCTGAATACTTGTTGTTTATATACTATAAGAATTCATATATTATATTATTATATACTATGTGACATGCAATCCAAAGATATATAATAATACGATATATAAACAACAACCAACAAGAATTAATATATTATATTTTTTAATAGTCTATGACATGTAATCCAAATCGGGTTTGTCAACCATCAAAAAAAAACAAAACCTTGAGTATCTGTGTTTTCTGACTGTGGGTGCAAACCCAAAATTATCTTCAAGCTTGTGGGACGGAAACAAATGAAACATTGAAAATTCTTACCCGGCCAAACTCCTCCAGTTGCTGCACCAGCTTTGCACGTGTTTTGACACCTTCCTTTTCATTCCTCGTGAAGATGGGTGTCCATCACAAAACAAATGATAAAATGCTTTGGGGGTTAAGTAAAGCTAGTGTTTATACTTTGTTGATCACATTAGTTTTTACCATGAAAATCCAATTTGCTGGTCAGTAAGAACAACCTTGCAAATAAACAATACATAGAGAGACTATGATTTGTATTTTGTATAATATATATCATCCCAATATCATCCCATTGAACCACATGTTTTGTTACAGCTATTCACACCAAGGGTCAAGATTCGGTCCGCTTCAAATTTGCTTTGATCGGCAGCGAGGTCTTCTTGCCACGCTGCAAATGCCGCTTGAAGCGACTTGGCATGTGCATCACGGGCCCGGTCTTGATGCTCACTCACATACTGATCGATGTGTTCGCCACGAATCTTCAGGGAATGGAATTGTCAAATAGAAAGGGATAAAGTCCGAGATACCATGTATGAAAAGTGAAGAGATTAAAGACCATGCAAAGTGTATAAAAAAATTATTTGTTTGTTTCTTTGTTAATTTATTTTGGTTGTTTTCCAACAATAGCCTCCAAAACGAAGGCAATGCGCTGGTAATCGAACTCCTCTCCAGCCTTCATGACAGAACCCAAGTCTTTGTCCAATAACCTCAGCTGCGAATCTATGTTCAGGAAATTCCAAAAAATATTGAACACCACGAAAATATGGAAAACCCAATCACATTTACCGATCTATTTTCCAACCCTTGGGTGCGACGGGTTTTTTTAAAAACCAATCACATGAAAGTATTCGAAAAAAAAAACAATCACACTCGAGATGTTATTTCCAGCTTCTGGGTGTGATTGGTTCACCCGACACCCTAGGTTTTTGCGACGGGTTATTCTAAAAACCCATCACATTTTGAGAGTTGTGGCTTCTCCCAAAAAATGATTGGTTTTTGTTGGAATATCAAACTTAGCCAACCCATGATTGATTTTTGGGATATCCAAGAATTGCGACGGGTTTTTTAAAAAACCAATCACAATTTGTAGTGCTCAGCCAAAAAAATTTGGCGACCAATCACCCTATCCACCCGGTAGCCAAAAAAATTTGGCGACCAATCACCCTATCCACCCGCTAGCCAAAAAAATTTGGCGACCAATCACCCTATCCACCCGCTAGCCAAAAAAATTTGGCGACCAATCACCCTATCCACCCCCTAGCCAAAACAATTTGGTCACTTTCATATCCCACCATAGACAATAAACTTGACAACCAATCACCTTATCCATCCCCTAGACAAGAAGCAACTATACCCTTGACTAACCAAAAATAAAATAGCAATTGGTACAAAACACCCTTTGTGGAAGAGTTCATGGTGCTTCTGAACGATGTCCGAGGGATAGTTCTTCACCAACTTGGGAAGCAACCACAACCATAAGCAAACGATGTCAAACAGGAGGTAGTGTTGCTCGTCGGAAAGCTGAGATGATTTCTGCAGGGTGAATATCAAAATCAGGAGAGTAGCCAAGCAAATTATGTAAGGATACCACACAATTCACAACCCCTGTCCTTGACCTTCAGCGAAGCTTCTGGACTGGCACGACGCTCAAAGTCCTCGGGAATTGCAAGAACCAAAAAATGAAATGTTTTTTTTGCTTTGACTTGAAATGTTGGGATAGCCGAATCTTAAATCATGTATGTCCAAACTTTGGTGGAAAACAAAACAGAACTACTACAACAAAAATAAAAAACATTGTTCGCGTATATCAAGGGTCCTGAGAAGCTCGGAATGCGTAGAGGCAAGCTGTTTCATCAGTTACTCTGAGAATCTCACTGAACAGTTCTTTCCCAAGATACTGTGGGCATTCTGCCCTCACAGTTGAGCCAGGCACCCAAAACTCCTGGGCCAATATCTCCAACGGCAATCCTGGCCCAGATTGACAAAATCCTAACAGTTGTAAATTCTTTTTTTTCCCCCGAAACCAAGCCTGATTGCTGATGAGGATAGGAATCGTAGTGTCGGTGGACCAAATCGAGGAAGTCTTTTGGGGATCGCAGCCTTTGATCAAACCATCATCATGACAAAAGAAAATATCCCGACAAAGTTCAACCCGCGTAAATTATATTTTCTTGGCCAAAATTCAAGGGGAAAATAAAAAAATAAAACCAGCTGATCACCGAATAAACTTAGACACAAGTTGTACAGCAGCGACTTGCGAGCGCCATCAATGCGGTGTTTCTTGATTGACGTCATCTTGTTGTAGCTCGCGCATGTCTTGTTCAAGAGGTCACGCATCGATGCTTTGCTCTTGGTAATTCGTTGCTCCATCTGGATCGCGGCTTGGATATCAGCGAACATGCTAATGGGGCTCGGAGCTTGTTTCTCAGAAGTGAGGTAACCCAGTTCTTAGTTGCAGACAACATCTTTGGCTAATGAATAAGCTGGCTGAAACACATTCCCCCTTCCCTTAACAAAAACATAGCCAAGAAACTCAACGAGTTCAAATAATGATGCCCTGGATTGTCGAAGTGCTCGTACGTACACCTCACGTACTTAAATGAGCAAAGGGTGTTTTTCAACGTCTCCTGCTCTTCCTTCGACAATTCCAATTCTTCAACGAAGCTAATGATGAGGAACATCAAAAGTACTTTCGTGAACCCGTCGCTCACTCCGACTGAGAACTGCTCCAAACAACGCGACCCATCACAGTATGGGAATTTGGTGACTACAGCTTCCGCTGACGACTTGTACCCGAACTGTGCAAACTCCCGAAAGTACATGCACAGTTGGCTGTTGTTCGGAAAATCTGACAGGGCCAATCAACACTGAACATTTCCAGAAAAAGTATTATGGTATATTATGGTTACTCTTCCCCAAACATCCAGCATACACAAACACCCCATTAAGAAAAACATTATGACATCGCAAAATGATAGTTTCATAAAAACACAAAATCACAGACAAGAACAGCCAAGGGACACCCATTCTTTGACTTCTCAGAGTAGTCAAAGAATTCAAGTGGTAGCCAGAACTCCGACAACGAAGTGGCAGGCACAGCTGACAGCACATTCCTTCTCCCATGGTCTTGATCTGGAAGGGATGTCACATAGGCATCCAAAGCCTTGGATTAAATCTAGATGTTTTTTAACAACCAAATGTCTAGCACCAGAAGGAAAATCACATACCCACAGAAAACAAAGTCTACCCAAATCAGGCAACTCCCTTCATCTTGGTCCGATCTTGAAAAACCTCATTCAAATGGTCTCCCAGGTTTTTGCGAGATGCAACCTTGGCTGGATACACAAAGCATATAGAAATACAAGATAGCACCAAAACATACCAAAACAACATGCGTGTCATTGAGAACCCATTCAAAGCTGATTTGTCCCAGGCACGGTTTCCAGGTAGGCACAAAGCTTGTCTAAGACAGTTGAAGCACCATCAGATGCACCGTCATCCGCCATGTCGAAGTGGTTTCACCCGAGCAAGCAACTGAAACAACAATACTGTTGTAAAAAAAAGAATAATTGTTTGCTAGAATGATGTTGGTTTGTCTATCCTGTCTTGATTCTTTTTGATGTAACTCATATAGCACTTGGCAATGTGTCAGGATCACCCTGGGCCAAAAAAATGGTATAGAGTATTGTATCGCTAACAGGTCCAACAAATGATGTTGACACAACTTGGCTGGTCTTCTTGGTTGGCTACTTCACTCAAAGAAATTTGTTGATTTTCTGCAACCCCCGAGCTGAACACCCCTTGTGCACTGAACATCCTTTGGTTCAGCCACCAGCCCTACCCCGGTGAAACGTAACTCTCAAAGGATGCGGCTTCGGCCGAGGCATCCGATCACCCAAATTGAATTGGCACCATCTTTGCCCAGACTGAGCAACGTTGCCCAAAAACTTGATTCTCGGGTATGGTTCCACGGAGGGGTTCTCCACAAGCAAGCTCCTGTAAAAAGTCACAGCACAACCCATATGTGGAAAGTCCACAGCGATCTCATCTGCCAAGTGTTTTAATTCTTCTTGACGCTCAGGGCTCAGCCAGGGATCAACACTTGGAGCCGCATTGGCCATCCTCATGAAGTAGTCTGTTTCCCCCTTCAAAGTTTGAGGCATCACAAGCAGTGGATTTTGGCTCAGAAAGCTATCTGACATTTGCTGCCGCACCAAAGCAAACACATCTAAGTCTCCATCGCCCCCACCCCTCAAACGAGCAGGTACACGCTCATCTGTTTCCAAATTTTCATCAGGTGGGAAACCTTCAGGGACCAGCACAGAGTTTTAAACAAATTGAACATACCAAGCCATAAAGAAAGGGCTAATCTAAGCCAATGTTTTCTCAAAAGCAATTTCTTGAGTTTCTGTCTGGCCTTCGCGGGCCATAAATGCAAATGATTGTGGAACTTTCATCACCTCCTCATTCCTCTTGGGCTTGCGATCCCTGTAAGCATTCCACAATGAGACTGATTGCGGAAGTATGCTCACCCAATCACGTACCTTGTTGTAGGAAATGGTTGTAGATGATTCTTTCAGCAAAACAAAAATTCCGAAAGTCACACAGCGAAAAGTGCACACATATTGGGAATGGAAGAAACTTTGAAAACAACAGGTAAGGACAACATACTATTTTGTTTTTTGGGACGGTGGATACTACAAAATGTTATCCGTTTTCACAGTTTCACAGCCAGAGGTTCTTGCTCAACCCAGAAGGTCTTGAAGGTCATCCCTTGTTGTTCAAACAGAGGTTCCAGTTTCTTGTTGATGGCTCTCATAAAGTCACGAGGTGTCAACAGCACAGGCTCACTATCTAAAGCTCTTTTCACCACAGATAGCACAGCATCGACATCCTCATGGGTATGTCCTACAGAAAGGTGGCTGTGGTTGCACACACTAAAGGTGTGTGATTGTACAAGTGCCGCCATGAGACGGCCACAATTTGAGTTGCGGATTTCCTGGTTGCATCATATACTTGACTTGTAGTTGACATTAATTCACACCCTTTCTTGCTGCAGGTTAGTGGAAAGAATAAAATCTTCTCAAAAGTGATGCAAGAATCTTTTACAGTATTGTCGGCTTGCAGTTGGAACCTGTTGGGCCAACCCAAAAGAAGGCAACCAAAAACAGAAAGTGACTATTAAATATATCATCCCAAAACAAAGTGATTATATTTTTAATTTATACTGAGTACACACAAACCCAGACTGTAGCCAAGCTGCTCAAAAGGAAATGGTTTTGCAAGTTCACTTGCTCGCGTGTAAACTTCATCCAGGGATCGCATGACCTAACTATGCAACATATTCCCCAATGGAAAAAATAATTTTGGGAGGTCAGTGAAATTTGGTGTACAAAAGTGAGGCCAGGGAGCACATTCCCAATTCCAGTTTGACCCTTCTGTCAGTGCTTCGTTGGACAAGTACATGTAGCACCCCCAGCCATGACATATGACCGCCGTCAACGTCAAGTAGGTTCCTGGGTGGTTTGAACATTTGTTTAAACCTTCGACAATCTTTGACATGCTTGAAAGCTCACAAACATCACAAACCAAAGTATGTTTTTTTTTTAAAGAAATGTCTCAAGAATAATCAAGCATCGTCTTGTTTCCTCATAAATAGATTTCTTTGGCACTCTGCCAAAGGGCCATCTCGGAAGGCTAAGCTTAGCTTTATCATAGCTGTCTATGATCACAGTGATCAGCCCTTCGTGGGAGCGGCTGTACTCTCGTGACATCCAGTAAATTTCGCGATCGCGAAACTGTTGTGTGTAGTGTTGCAGAAGTTCGTCGCAAAGGGCAGCATGCGTCTTAAAGTCCTCAAATGGATTCAAAGCTGTAAGGTTAAAAAACATTAAACAACACTAAGTTGCATGGGTTAAACAAAAATAAAATATACCTGGTTAAGGCCAGCATCGGTTGAAGCATGAATCTTTGATCTGATTTCAGAACATGTTTTGCACATTGAATGTGTGCTTTTTTTGTGAAACCTCAAGCATTGAGACCATTCTTTGTACACCTTGTAGAATGTGCTCTTCCCCGGTGTATCTTCTGTTTTTGCCCTACACCATGCTGTGAATAGAAGGAATAGGTTTGCCACGTTACCATGCGGCAGTTCTCTCATCGGAAGCTGGCGGGGGTCGAAATGATCCGAAATCTGTTTGATAGGGCCTTAGTTAGAGTGTCTTTTGAAAAAAGATGCATGGAATGTCAAAGCTTTCATCACAGCTTGATTTTAGCGGAGAATATTATTTCAGGACAAAAAATATGTCAGCCTATTAAATGGTCCAAGAAACCAAGAAGGGATTGAGCCACAAGTCGGCGCAGTAGGTCAGATCTCAACTCTTCATCCGAGGTGTTGAGCATGGATTCAGATCCAATCCTCAGTGCGATTTTCCATATTTTCCAGCCACAGGACCATGCATGTCGGGGCGACTGTGTTTGAAATGCATTGTCAACTGTAGGTTTCTATTTTCTAACAGACAATAGATGTCCATTAGTCCAAGCTTCTTCGTCGTCATTGATTCGCCAGCCGTCCAGTACAAATGAACGAAAAAAGCCTTCACGCAAGCCGTTTGACTTGCAGGACGTTTGGCAAGTCCTTGGACCGAACATGAAGGCAGGATACTGGGAACATATGGGATTGATGGCTTTAGTTTCAAGGTTGTTCAAAACCAAAGGTCCAAGTATTGTGTTAAACGGCATCATGAAGGGAATTAGCACGGTTACATGTTTCAAACAAAACTAACACGATTAGTTGAAGTGTGGCCAGGGATCCGCATTTCATAGATCGCTCATCCTGACCACGATGTCGACGTTTTGTGCGACGGAGCCGATTCTTCCCCACTCCCAGTAAGCGTAGCCATGCTTCTCGGCAAACACGATGCCCTGATTGATGTGCCAAACAAATTCAAGGTTTTGAATTTGCTCCACTGGAAATTGAGGGAATGCTGAAAGAAATTTCTTGAAGTTTCTTGGGGATACCCCAACTTAAAAGCAAATCCCACGAACCAAGTTTAAGCACAGGGGGCCCAACCTTCAATATCATAGTAACGTTTCCTTCGCTCACCATCAGAAACTTGCAATGACCAAAGGATTGAATCCTGCGCAGACTTTGACAGGCACCAGAATGCCAAACAAATTTTCATCATAAGCGCAAGCGGGGCAGAGCACTTGCAGCTACATGTTGGATGTCGAACGGCTTGTTTTACCCGATCTTTGTCCATCCCGTTCTTCGCAAAGACCGTCAGTTCAGTATCGTTTTCCTGGTCAAAGCTTTTTGTAGCCAAACCATGAAATGATTCCAGCTTAGCAAGGGTCAAGCTGATATTCACGGGCTCCAGGGTGACACCATTCTCAGAAGTAGAACTTGTCCTTGGGGTGCAGAGACATAAATGGACATTATGTACTATTTCATGGTTTCACCATGTTTCCCCCTAACAGAGGCTAGACCAAATGAATCAAAACAGACATCATGTTATCTGATGATTAATTACTTTTTGTTTGCCAAGGAACGTGGATTCATCATCTGATGAACCTGACCCAGATGACTGGGATTCTGCCCCAGATTCGTCTGATGTCTCATCATAGCGCCAAACATTGGCAGGTGGTCCATCATCGGCGCTATCGCTGGAGTCCCACCGGTGGAGGACAGGCATTGGGTAGAAGGTTTTTTTCCCAAACCAATATAATTACTAATATCTCATTTTATAAAGAGCTTCATTGTGTTTGCCCCGAAGTCTGACCATCGCAAAAGAAATGGAATGCCAATTCGCAACAAAGATTTTTTGTAGTTGTTATCGAATTTACTTATTGTTTGCTTTGATTTGCAGTTGCATTGGGCAAAAAAAAGCTAAATGCAATGAACATCAAACTTTGGAGGGTAGGCTGCATGCAGAGTAGCATTCTAATTCACATGGGTCCATTATTTCTGATGCAAATTTCGCACTGCTGTTTTTCACATGCCTTCTTCTCAAGCAAATCACCATCTTTGGTGCAAGTATCGCTGCATCAACATTGGATCCACAGCTTTCATTGTCATGATGATTGCCACAGCAGCAGCTCGAAGCGCGATTGCGTTCCCTCCCATCCTTGCCAACTCCTCGGCTGTTGCACAACCCCAAAAAAGATGTTGGGAGATTGCGTTCCACTAAGGGGTGGCATGATCAAAGATTCTCAAAGACATGTAAATGTTCAATCATCTTCCAGATTAAATTTTGCATAGGATCACGTTGTGAAAAGCCACTGGTTGTCATCCGATGTAGTGGAACCCCCATCAGCAGCAAGAACTCGCTACCTCAACTCGTGTGACAGGAGGATGATGCTCTTCTGAGAGGAGCGGATGCTGAGAGTTGAATCCATGCAATACCAAGCAGCCAGTGAGATAGCGGCATTGGTCATATATCAAATATCTTCCCGAAGGCCTGAGTTTCAGGGGTGGCATCGTGGTTTGGGTATATATGGTATGCAACAAGTAGGAAGACAACCCTTGGAAATCATATGGCATGGTCCAGGGCTCGGGCGTCAAGCAGCAAAGGGGGGCATGTTTCCCATAGATAGGATTCATTCTGGAAATAGATTGGCTGGTATTGATGGCTTCAAATTTGCCACTGCGGTAGAGGATCAAGTCCAGTGCCTGGCAAGAGGTTGCTTTTGGTTTTTCTTAGGTGTGATGTAATTCTAAACACTAAACTAAGCTGGAAGGTGCCGATGCATCCCCATGCCTGTTCCTCTCGTCTTGTGGATACGACCTTGCAGGCCTCTGGGTTCTTTGTTTCCAAAGTTCCTGATGCCAGCCGTACCTTGGATATCCGGTAGGGTTAGCCACATCATAACATATCCTTCAAGTTGCCATGGACTTGTTGGAATAGCATACCAGGATAATTTGTGGGTCCAAGTGGCAGGTACTTCATGTTCTTCTGCCCATCTTCTATGGTCCTGTACCCATTTTGGTCTTGATGCTCGCTTCCTCAGCTGAATGCAATAGACTGCATGCAAAGTAAAGCGTTGCAACATCAGAGGTTGGAGACATGACATTTTCAATCCACAATAGGGTTTACTGCAAATTGAGATTCTGTTTTTTGGACATGTGCCTTTCCCTTGTTCGTTTTTGTTCTTCAACGGCAGCCTTCACCGTTTCCGAGTCATTCTCCAAAAGAAGATCTTTCCTGGAGCACAGAAACAGCAAACGATGATTTTAATTTTCTCTTAGTAATCGTGTGCCTCCAACCTCAAAAGCTAAATTCGGAAGAATGGACTGAGCCAAGTGACCAGTGTATGTCGGACGAACTTTTCATGATATCCCTGATCTTCTCACAAAATGCCTGGAAATCTTTCTTGGCATCCTCCAGCATAATCTCACGACGCACCACAATGATGAATACTCGTCTTCGAGTAATTGGAGCACCATGTTGAAGCCTTGTTTTCAAGTTGTGAGATGTTTCACTTCAAATGCCAAAAGTTTGACATCATATGACCTGAATTGTCATGATCAACTGTGTTGAAATCGAGACACGGATCCAGGATCAGCCATGCCACTGCGTACCTTGTTTCACAGGTTTTGTGGTCAAGAGAGACTGCACAGACAAAGCACAATGTCAAGTGCAAAAAATTGAACTGTCTCGCACCGAGTCAATCCAAGAAACTCCGGGAGGAGGTTCTTTATGAACTCCAACACTGTGTCGATCACCCGAACAAAGCCCAAGACATTCTCGAGAAAGGCAGTCTGAGATGGATCAATAAGCAACTATATAAATACTAGACTTCAACCATGATATCCAAACTTAGAAAAATAAAATCCTTGAAAATGAATATGTGGGTGAGTAGCTGCTGGTTGTGTTTCGGCGATATTCTCCACACATTTCCACATCTGCCGAGCATTGCGGTCTTCTAGCATTTCAGAGTGAGAATGGAGGCAGCTGAAAGGTGTGCATG